CTCCAGCTCCTCCAGCTCCTCCTCCTCCTCCTCCTCCTCCAGCTCCTCCAGCTCCTCCGCCTCCTTTGGGCTCTGTGTAAATAAAAACACTATCATAAGATATTATAATCATAAGAATTAATTATTCAAAATGTCTATGGCTCTAAACTCAAAATAAAGGTTACACACACACAATATGTTACAAAGTATCTTGCAGAAAACAAGGTGAACTCACTGTCCAGCACTGGGCAGCTCCGATCATTGGTGACGGTTTTCTTCAGTCGAGCTCCTTTGCCGATATCTGATAGTAAAGCATTTCTCCCGTGCTGCTCAGATCTGTTCAGATTTGGCTTCTCTGTGTTTGCCTGGTGAAAGTCAATGTGAATTAGACAGGCCCCATAAACAACACACATTGCCATCAGCTCAAAACAGATGCTTACTATTTCAATGCTGTTATGTGGAAAAAAATAATAACGCTCTCATTTTTTTTTCTTGGCTTAAAAATTGTGTCCAGTGTTATTTGCTAGTTTTTAGCTATTTTTACTCTGACCCCCAACCCCATGATGTTAAACTGCTAACAGCAAGTAAACCAGAATTTTGATAAATCCAAAATTGTCTCCTTTGATTGTAGATTATATAAATTATACTTACAATTGGAATATTGAAGTGCTTTAGGGTTTTTAACAATTAATAACTATTCGTACTTAGAGCAAGGCTATAGGATGCTGCAGGAATGATATAATTTTATAAGCCAAAACCCGGAAATGAGAAATACCTGTGCAAAGGTTGGAGGAGGGCCGGGAGGGGGCGGTGGCGGCGGTCCAGACATGCTTCCTTTTCTTTCTTTCTAACCTAAAAGACTGAGAGCACACAAATAAAACACATCAGTAACAGCCGATCAACAACAGGCAAGCTTATACGTGGAGGAAGTGTCACACTAGCACATCTTCTGAAGACGCATGCCTCATCTTCAAGTGGTTTTGTTCCGATTTCCATTAAGTTGCAAAGTTACAGACATTATATCACATGATATGCACATATTTACACATATACTTCAAACTTACCCTTTTGTAGTTTAATACACCCATTTGAAAGTAACAAAACAGCAGGTGTTCAATATCTTAGGGTGACACATGAAATATCTAAATAAATAAATAAGTGATTATTTGCTACAAAGAATTATCACATGATTCTATTTTGCTCAGTCCAAGCTCAGTTTTAACCCTGTATGTATTTTTAGGAAAAATAAAAGAAAACTTTTGGTTGATGTCGCATAGACCACCAGCAGCAGGAAGACTTTCATAATAAGGGCTATTCATAACTGAACAGGCGACAGCTGTGACCTGATCACTCGTGTGCATCACTCTGGATATTTTACATTAAAGGGGTCATATGATGCGATTTCAATTGTTCCTTACTCTTTGGAGTGTTACAAGCTCTTGGTGCATAAAGAAGATCTGTAAAGTTGCAAAGACTAAAGTCTCAAATCCAAAGAGATATTCTTTATAAAAGTTAAGAGTCAGCCACACCTACCTAAAACGGCTCGTTCTAACACGCCCCCACATATCTACCTCACTATGTGGGAAGATTAGCATAATGCCGCCCAAATGTGAACGCAAAGAAAGAAGGCGTGGCTTCAGGAACAGCAGTAGTGTTGATGCAGCATGTCAGGGAGACGCTGTGTATTTCAGTGCGAAAGCAAAAGCACTTTATTTGGCCTTCCAGAAGTAGATGCATTTAGGAATCTTTAAGATTACTTACAACAGAACAGCAATGCATTTTATGGACGACCGTTTCGTGAACCTAGGAGAGGAGGTAATTCTGACTTTGCTATGACAATCTGGCGCTTCTGAATCAGCGACTGTAAGTATGTTTTGTTACTAGTTTAAGTATTTGCTATTGACTGTTCAAATGCAGAGTTTTGCGCATCGTGTGTGTGTGCGCACGAGCGAGCGAGCGAGAGAGATAGAGAGCGCGCG